GAGGGAAAAAACCCGTGCGCGCTGTGATGATGAGGCACGGCACCATCTACACCCGAATCCGAGATGCCCCATGTCCTCCCCGCTCCTTCCACCCAGGGCCACGTCCCGCTGGTGCTCACGGGCAGCTCGTGCAGCCCAAAATTTCCAGAAAGTCGCCGAAGCCATGTAAAAAGGCCTCTTGGTCTGAGCCTTGCAGCTTGGGCCTGGTCACTCTCTATGACCTCACTGGGGTGACATCATCAGCCTCTATGACCTCATCGGGTGACATCGCCGCCGCAGCAACCAAGGCACTGAGCGGGAGGCTCTGCAGGCTGCATCGGGAGGTTGTTTGGAGGCCTCCCCTCAGTAGAAATCTGGAGGCCACGGGCCCCGCAGAGCTCCCTCCATGGCCATTTTGGACACTCCCCCCCCAAGCTGCTTCCTGGGTCCTTGCCGTGCACCTCCAGCGCCCCCCGGGCCTCTGAGGTTTCCAAAATTACCCCCAGAAAAGCGAGTGGTGGCAGAGCCATGCTGCCTGCCACCTGCCGTGAAAAGCCAGGGGGGTTGGGGCTCCTCCGGCTGGCGGCCCCCAAATCAGTGGGTGCAGCCCCCACAAGCCTGGGTGGGGTGGGGAGGCAAACCTGGCCGTTCAACTACTGAGGCTGGCCGCCCCGCTCCATGATGGCGAGGGGCCATACCAGGATGGGGGCCGCGGCGCTCCCCGGCTTCTCTCGTGCTTCGTGCCTCCATCGCTAAATCTTCAGGGCTGTGGGCATGCTGCGCCAGGCCCATAATCGACCGCTGGTGGGGGCAAATCGCAATGAATCACGTTGCAAAGACCCCTCTGCCAGGTCTCGGGCACTGACTTGGGGCTTTGCCTCCCTCAGGTGTTGCCGCCGGACCGCGGCCCTCAGGTGAGATGCTCCGGCTCAAGGGCCAAGGGGAGCCCCCAGCCCCGCTGGCAACAGATGGCAGGGCGCTGAAGGAGCTGCTGTGGTGCGGGGGTGAAGGCAGTGCCGCCCTGAGACCCAATGGCCCCTTCCAGGTGAGAAAGGCTCTCCGTGCCGTACGTCCTCTCTGGGCTAGCAATGGCTCGGTCTGGTACCGTGGTGTCTGCCTGCCCCGGCAGCCTCCTGCACTTAGCCCAGGAACATGGGATGCCCTAGTGTAGACGAGGCCCTGGCGCTATTGCACCTGCACCATCTCAGCCTGCTCGCAGCAGACAGAATTGGACATATCAACACCCTGAAGTGCGGCTGGGTCTGTGCTGGGCGCAGCTGCTGCTGCTGTGGGCTCTTGTCTGCATTCAGGATCCAGCCATGTTACATTGGACTTGAAGCATTTCTGCTCCAGGGTGGGTGGAGCGCTGCGCTCCTGTCCTGTCTGCAGGGCCAGGCCCACTGCGAGGGGCCAAATGATGTGACACGGAGCATGCTCACATTGTGTCCTGGCACCCAGGCAGCCCCATGCACCCACTCCCACCAAGCCGAGAAGTGAGGCAGTGAAGCAGCTCTCTCCAGCATGCTTGAAGCCCCAAAAGCAGCTCCCTGGCTGCACTGCCAGGTTTGGAGCATGCGAGTGGGAGCCCGGGGTGGCACCAGGGGTGCAGCATAGATATACCCAGAGCTGCAGGTAGTAGTGGGGATGACGGAAACCCTGAGCTGCGCAGGAGCCTTGGAGATCAGCAAGGAGCAGATCAATGTGCAGCATGGCTCGCTGCAAAACAGGACCGCTTTCTCCCTTGCCTTGTCCTGAGGGGGCAGCATGATGCTGTGCTTAAACTGGGCCAGCTAGCTAGCCAGTTGAAACACAGCGTAGATGCTTGCACATGGGTTAGTGTGTGCACGGCCAGCCAAAGTGCAGCGCGGTCTGTGGGCTGCCCACACCATGCTGGACACAGTGGTGCGTGAGATGCCTTGCTTTGGCGGCTGAGCTCCTTCTGCTCTGCTCCCATAGAGGACAAGGGGATGCCCCTGCTCCATGCCGCATGGTCCATAACCTACCCCTAACCCTGTCCCTGTCCTTGTCTTGGCCTCCCTGCAGCAGAAGCAGCTGGCGTGCAAGTTGGTGGAAGGTGGCGAGTGCGAGAAGCAGCTGCTGGGCAGAGTGCAGCAGGTAGGACTGGCAGGGATGGTGGTCTCTGCCCCCGTGCCCTGCTCCAGCCTCCCTGCGGTGGGTGCTGAGTTTCTCCCCTTTGACTGCAGTGCCCGAGAGCGCGGGGGGAGAAGCAGGCCTGTCGGCAGGAGGTGGAAGCCAGAGCTTGCCGCTGCAAGGCAAGCGTGCAGTGGGATGAGCGTGAGGCCCTGGGGACACGGGGCAGAGCTGGCAATCAGGGCACCAGCATTTCTTCCCCGAGCCAGTGTCCGCAGGGACAGGGTGCCTGCAGGGACTGCCCACGCTGCTTCACGCCGTGTCACTGCATCTACCCATGCACCACTTTTGGGAGGAGGCGGTGGGCCAGTGCCCACACCTTCCTGGGCCCCTGGCACCGGTGTGCATGCCGCTCTGGACAGCCCACCTCTGTTGTGCAGGAGGGAGAGCTGCCCGGCAGGAAGGGGCAGCCGGGATCCAACCCCTGGCACCTGGAGCAGGACGAGCAGGAGTGAGTACTGGCCGTCCTGGCCTGCATAGGACACGGCTGGGGAGCTTGGGGGTGTTTGGGGGCAGTAGCAGGATCTTGGCTGGGGCCGAGGCAGCACTGGGGTCCCTCCCGCGGTTTGCTCCCAGGATACCACCTCCCTCCGCTTCAGGCACTTGCTGCAACCCTCGCCCCCCTGTATGCACCCCCATCCTAGTCTCTGCTCCCTCATGCCAGGGGTCCCCATAGGTACTGCTCTTGGTACCTGGGCAGGGGTCACTGATCCCTGGGGAGCTGGCAGAGGTGCTGCATGCCCCCCCCCCCCATATACAGACAGCAGCTGCAGAGGACGGGGGTTTCTGCAGGGCCCTCACTCCCCCTTCTGCTGCTCTGACCCCCCCTCAGTCACCCACGCAACCCCTCCCTCCACCCGCTTGCCCCAACAGCTGCATATCTGTCCCCTGCTCCCTGATCTCCTCCTTCCCCTGCCCCGTGCTTGCCAGGATCTACTGGGGCTGCTTCTACTTCTTCCCATGGCTGAGGACGTGGCGGAGAGGGAAGCGGGAGCAGTCGTGAAATGGTCTGTGATGCTGGCTTGCCCTGGGGGCCCCTGCCAATACCCCCGGGGAGTGAATGGGGGGCTGCCCTGCCAGCCCAGGGGGGGAGCCAGGGGCTGGAGGCGAGGGGAGGGCTGGGGCAGGGGCCCTGCTGCTTCTGCCCGCCTGCACCCTGGCTTCCAGGGAAGGGGCTCCTGCATTGCAGGTGTGCAAGGCGCATGCACAACTCGGCTGGGCTCAAGCAGCAAGGGAGGGCCCTGGGGGTGCCCACTCTCTCCCCGAACAGCCAGGAAACGCAGATGGTCTCTGCATGCCCCGGCGCCCGGGCAGGGCTTGCACCCCAGCCCTGGGAGAGGGGGTGCAGCAGGGGAGTGCCGTGTGGGGGCACGTGGGAGGGGCTGTTCTCGGTGCCCGGGGCAGCGAGGGGCTGAGGTGAGGCTGCAGGGAGCTCAGCTCTCATGGGCTCCTTTCCCTGCAGTTGGCCAGGCCCAGGGGTGAAGAGCTGCGCTCAACGTCCGGCACCCCCCCCCCCAGAGTTATACGCAGGCCCTGCAGCTGCACGGTGACCGGCCACCTCTATCTGCCCCGGGCCACACAGGTGCCCCAGGACATGGCACCCCCAGATTAAACAGCTTGACCCCACTGATACCCAAGCATCTCCCATCTCCTCCTGGGAACAGTGACCCCCACGTGTCCAGGTCCCCCTTTCCCCTTGGGGGTGCTGGTCTGGCCTCTGGGCCACGTCTATGCAGGGTGCCCCGCGGCATGTTGTAGGGCCTGGCACGACCCAGCACTGCCTTGAGGAGCATCCTGCCCAGTCCTGTCCCCTCGCTGCCAGGACAGCGCGGGGGTGGGCACCCCGTGGCTTGGGGCAAGCCAGCTCCAGCGACACCGGTGTTGGTGACAAGCAGGACAATCCTCCTGGGGTCTTGGTCCTGTGATGCCCAGACGCCCAGCCCCACTGACCACCCATCCATCCCCAAAACCCTACCGCGTACAGCACCATGCAGGCACACTGATGCACGCACACACCTGTGCATGGGGGGGGAAATCGCCCAGGAAGAGAGGCCAGGGCAGGGTGAGCCCCATGGGAGCTGGTGCTGGAACAAACCTCCTAGAGGCAGGTGGGGAGAGACCAAGTGACCCCCCTGCCCACCCCAAATACACACCACAGCCGCAGGAACCCGTTTCTCACTTTATTCCCACTGGGCCTCGCACAGCCCCAGCCCTGCCCGCTCTCACGGCCCGGGCCCGGGCATGGGCACAGGGTGGCCGACCCCAGGGGATGCAGGAACGGGGCAAGAGTTACCCCTGCCCGGGAATCGGCCGCCGGGCACGGAGCGTCAGGGAGGGGGAGTCTTCACAGCACCAAGTCCTGGTGGGGGGGACAGGGAGAGGGAGAGAGGCCAGGGCACGGGCTGGCTGAGGAGCCTGGCACGTTCCCCAGGGGCACAGGGCTCCCTCACACACACGTGCAACACCCCCAGGTGCTGGGGGCCCCCGTGGCACCCCTGGGCTGGAGGAAAACCCCAGGTAGAGCTCAGGGCGGCTGCCAGGACCCCGCCGGGAGGAGGCACCTGGAAGCAGGGAGCAGAGTAGGTGCTGGGGGAGCTGCTCCTGCCCATGTCGGGGTAACTCCTGGGGTTTGTGGAGGGACGAGGGCTGGGGGGACGGGGCCGGCCAGCTGGGTCCTTGCAGATGCAGGACAGACCCCGGCCTCCCCGCCTGCGCACCGTGCCAGCCCCCAGCTCCGTGCTCCCACCCAGCCCTTTCTGGCAGTCGGGTTGTGCTGCAGCGCCTGCCCGGTGCCAACACATGGAAGCGATTACCGGGGGGGCGCCGGGCCGGGGGTCCACCCAGCAGCGCCTGGCACAGGCAGGGCTGTGCCCCTGGCCAGAGGCAGGGAGGTGCAGAGCAGACATCCTATTCGCAGACTCTGAGGCTTGGGGGTCTGGCCCTGGGGTCACCCCCTGCTTCCAGGGCCCCTCCAGCCCAGCTCACGGCCTCCCTATGCAGCCTTGGTGTGTGCGTGCGTGAAGACACGCTCTGGGACACGTGTGGGGGTTCAGCATCGCGCTCTCAGCTGGCCACGCATGCCAGACCCCAGCCCCGGTACCCAAAGGGCCCCCAAGCCAGCGCCAAGCAGCAGGAATAGGGGCCAGGTCTCAGGCAGTCCTTGAGCCTCTCTGCAGGCTGTGCCCAGGGGGTGATGCCCCGTGCCGCTGGCGTCAGCCCCAGGCCCTGTCCTGTCCCCGTGCCGCCAGCCGGCACCCTCAGTCCGGGGCTGGAGTTTGAGGCCTGGGCAGCGTTCGTGGGCCCCAATCCCCAGGGCTTCTTCCTGCACCTGCCACGCGCAGGCAGGTCCAATGCCCCCGACGTTGCTGCCCGCCGGGGTCCATGCCCCACCTTGCCTGGGGGCCGCAGCCGGCTCCTTGCCGGCGCAGGGCAACGGTGTGGGTGGCAGGCAGGGCAAGTACCGCAGTCCAGGTGCGGGGCACCGTTCTCGAGCCCACAGTGGTGTCGTGTCCTTGGGGGGTGATGAGGGGGGACGGAGCCACGGGGTCCCGGCTACAAGATCTGGGCTTCTGCAGAGACACAGGGAAAGAGCAGGATGCAGCGGGGCTGGGCTCCGGCACTGGGGCTGCCCCACAACCTTGGTCCTCTCCTCTAGCCGGGCGCCATCCTGGGAGCATCCCCAGGGACCCCATCCTGCATCCCCCCCTTCTTGCCCAACTGCTCTGTACCCCCAACCCCGCGCCCCCCATGCCTCTCTGCCACCCGGCGCCCACCCCACTCACTCGGCAGGGCCTTGAGGTGGACGGCGGCTGCCAGGAAGTTGTGTTTCTCGGGCGTCTCTTTGCCCTGACACCTCGCCCGGCGCCTGTGGGCAGAGCAGAGCTGGTCAGCTTGGCACCGGGGTCTCTCCCCAGCAGTTGCCCCGCGAGACCCCCAAATGCATCCACCAGAGAAGGCACAGCCCAGGCCCCCATGCCTGCTGCGGCTGGGCCCCCAACACGGCCTGCGCTCCCTTTCCAGCTGCTGGGGCTGGCGCGGCTCCAGCCGATCCCGGCCCTTCCTGCTGGCTCTGCGCACGGCTCGGCTGGTAAACACCGCCGGCTGCCAGGGGCTGGGCTGAGCTGCTCGGGGTGTAGGGCTGCCGGCCAGGCCCCGCTCCGGCTGTGCCCTTAGAGGCACCGGGTGCCCCGCAGCACCGCTGATCACCGCCTTGCTGCCAATCGCTCCCGCCTGCAGGTCTGCGGGCCACGCCGAGGCCGCCCATCCCCGCGCGCCCTTCCCCAGGGCTGCCGTGGCACCTACCAGACCAGGAGGGCGACGAACAGGACGGCGGCCAGGACCACGAAGGCGAAGACCCCGAGTGAGACCAGGACGGCGATCCTCTCCGTGGGGTCGCTGCGGTCTGCATGCACGCGTGGACCGTGAGTGCCGTCCCGGCCCCTGCTGCACATCCAGCTCCCGCAGGACCCCTGCCCTCCAACGAGTCCCTACCCAGTGGGGCCACCCTCAGCCCCAACCGCTCCGGGGACCCCGGTGCCAATGCTACTCACCAATGGGCTCGGGGTTGGGGGCAGGCGAGGGCTCTTGGGCCAGGCGCTCCGGGCCGGTTTCGGTAGTGGTTTCTGTGCTGGCTGTGGCGGCTGGGTCCGGAGGCACTGGGGAGACCGAGGATGGCGAGTCATGGATGCTGGCTGCGGGGGGTCCCGGCCCCTCTCAGGGCCCGGCAGGGCAAGAGTTGCCCCATATTGCCACGGATGCACTGAAGCCGTGTGGCCTGAGCGGGGCAGAGGATGTAGGGCACCTCAGCGGGGGCTGCTTTGCCGTACCAGTGACCGGTGTGGCGCGGGCTTCGGCGCTCCACTCGCTCCAGTTGCCGGCGTCCAGGAAGTCCTTGGCGCCCACCTGCACCACGTGCTCCAGCCCGGAGAAGGCGTCGGTGATCACCTCGGACAGGTTCGCCGTCTCCACCTGCACGGAGCGGGGAGCCTGCAAGGGGATCGCGGCAACGCGGCGCCTCCCAGCCCCATGTGCGCGTGCATCCACCCCCCTCCCCGCCGGGACTCACCACGGACCAGGCACGGTGCATGACGGGCCGGTACTGGAGCCGGAACTTGAGCTGGAAGTGGGGCTCCTTGGGCCAGGAGGTGGGGTACTGCCAGCGCACGCGCAGCCGCCGCGGGGCTCGCGGCACCGGCTCTACCACCAGCCCCTCCGGGGGGTCCGGCTTCACTGCAGGGGGACAGGCAGGGGCATCAGCTCACGTGCCGGGGCAGCTGGGTGTAGTTGTCCCCACCTCCCCACCTGTGTGTGCATGCAGGCATGCATGCACATTCATGTGCGTGTACACTCCATATGTGCACATGCATGTGCACAGATGTGCATGTGTATGTGCATGACTGCATGGTTATGCCTGTGTGCATGCATACATGCACACGTGTGGGCGCCCACGCATGCGCACTCACAGATGGCCTGCATGGTGATGTCCAGGAGGCGGAAGCTGGCGCCCAGCGGGTTCACCTCTGTCACGTTGAGCCGATACGAGCTCCAGAACTCGGACTTGGGCACCGTGCACGTGCCTGGGCGCGCGGGGTCCTGCAGGCACAGCCCCACCGGCCCGCCCTGCACCCTGCCAATGACACGGGGCGCATGGCTCAGCAACACCCCACCAGGCCCTTGCACCCCAGGCCTCTCCTGCTCCACACCATGGCATGGCAGCTTGCTGCTTCCTGCCCCCCAGGCACCGGGCCCCTATGCCCTGCCCTGCTCCAGCCCCCTCGCCGCCCTGGGGCCTGGCTAGGGGGCACTGGGGAGGTCTGTGGGTGGGCGCTGGCCCCGTCTCTTCCTGCAGCAGGAAGGCGCCAGGATCAGGGCAGGGCTCCCCGTGTCCTGGCACAAGCAGGAAGCTGCCGGGATGTGGAACGGATGGACGGGGCCTTAAGCTGGGCTAAATATAACTGTGCGGGCTGGTCCCTCTGCCAGCGGCTCAGCTGTGCCCCTCCCGAGCCTGCAGCCCCGGCTGGAGCAGGGGGCCGGACATACATCCCCACGCCATACCCATGCCCCGCTTGGCCCCGTGCGTGATATCACACGGTGCTGTGATGTCACAGGACAGGCGACACGGGTCTTACCTTCGCTTCTCTTCCCCCGTCAGCGACTTCTTCCTGCGCATGAAGGAAAGCAGAGAAGAAGCAGCTGCTGAATCCATGGCGGGGCAGGGGGCATCAGGGCAGGGGCAGGAGTGGTGGAGACGGGACTGGGGCAGAAGGAGCCTCTTGCTGCTGTTCCAGCCCCCTGAGCTGTGTGCGCATATGTATGCATGTTTGTGCATGGGCATGCATGCATGTGCAAGTCCGTGTGGGCATGCATGTGCATGGAAGTGAGCTGCTGGCCAAACCAAACCTAATGTGAAGTCCAGTGACAGTGCATATGTGCATGTGTATGCATGTGTGTAGGCATATCCATGTGTGCGCGCACATGCAGTCACATGCATGCATATGATGGTGTATGTGTGCATACAAGTGTGTGGACTGAAGCCACCGGTGCTGGGAGCTGCCCCGGCAGCAGGGCAGGGCATGAGGGGCGGGAGCCCAGGCACGGGGCGGGGGCAGGACAGGGGCTCACCGGTAGGTGGTGATGTAGCGCGTGGGCAGGAAGGTGTCGTGGGCCGCGGCCCAGGAGCAGGAGAAGTTCTCGTAGTCGGAGGCACGGCACCACACGGATGGGACCCCCGGCGGGTCTGCGCCGGGGTGAAGGTCAGGGTTCGGGAGCTCCCCCTGACCCCCAGCCCTGCCCCCCTCCATACCCTCCCCTTCCCAGC